TTCGAAGTGTAATTACACTTGAGAGAAGAAGACAAAATTTTTTCTATTAATTCATTAACGAGTGAAAGAGATCAAATTTCTATTAAAAACGACTTTCTTTCCTTCCTGCGTACAGAAAAATGATCAGAAATGTTTTATGATAAAACTTGATATTTCGTTATCAGTAATAAGCTGATTTCTTCTAAAATTTTGTCATTCGTGGATCAGTTTTGATTTTCATTTGTATGGTTCCATCTCGAGATCTTTGTTTTTCTTGTATTTTTTATTTCAGATGGTTATTACGTTCGTTGGAATTTAGAGACAGAAAATTAAGATCAGTCGTTCGATACCGCGGTGAGTGTATGGGTTCGAATGAATGTGAAGGAATTTCCTTGTTTCCAGATACGAACGAGGTGGATTTATAAAAAGAAAAAAAAAAAAAAAATAGAAGAGGTCTCGAGCGTAATTAGGAGACAATTTATAGTCGATCGAGCTTACAGCGGTTTTAAGAATCGTGGATTAAAAAAAATTAGATAGATATTGAAACGAAATGAGAATTATTTCTCTTCTTCTTCTTCTTCTTCTTTTTTTTTTTTTTTTNTTTTTTTTTTTTTTTTTTTTTTTTTTTTTTTTTTAGGTAAAAGTTTAATTCAAAACTTACCAAGTATAATTTAATAATAAAAAGAATTTTTCAAAGTGGAACAGTAAAAAATTAGTCGACGCTTGATGAACGTAAAAGATTAAATTTCCGTGAAAATTAAAATTAAAGTTAAATGATAAAAATTGAAATACAGTTTCTAAAAATTTTCTTAAACGAATTCAATCAGATTTCGTTTGAAAATAACGTTGAAGCCAAAAAGGTTTCGTTTGAAAATAACAAATAAAGTTAAGTGAATGAAACTGAAATACAATTGTTAGCTTCAGAAATTTCTTCGTAACAGCTTCGACAAATAATTTTTATAAATTAAGAGAGTGAAATGTAAAGACGTGAGGCTGTAATGTAAAACTCTCTGGAACGTAGTTCTTTCACATGACTCCTTATTAACCTCGAGAGAACACGCCTTGAAAAGTTTCTCGAACTATTTCTTCTCAATACACGGCGAGTTTTCACGCCACCCTAATCACGTTAATCATCGCGTAAGAGGAAGGAAAATTCTCTCTTCGAATTTGCGCGAAGAAACGGTCAACTCTTCTGAAACTTTCTTTTCCTCGAACACGAAATTTATTAGCGGGCAATCTCTGTTGCGGTATCGAAATTTCGCATAAAATACCCGCATGAAAATATGAGAAAATGTCAAATTCTACGAATATAAATGTTAATTACTATTGTTGGATAAAATACGAAGTACTCATACATGTACAATCATTTATCTGGGCAAATAATTAATCTCAATGAATAATACTCGATTAAGTAAATTAATGAGAACATTCTGTTAATGAACGTGCAAAATATTTGCATTAACAGAAATTTCATCAGTAGAGATATAGAAATTTCTCGTATGTGATACACGTTTCATATAAATTTCTGATCTCGAGAAATGAATACACGCTATGGAAATTTAATACTTATGTTATACTGTATGTTGTCTGTATAATTCATTTTTGTTTGCGTGTACTCGTTACTGTTACGTACAGTCATAAGTTTCCGTGTATCACACACAGATTTTCTAACGTATTCTTGCCTTAAAGTATGATATTTTCGTTACACATCGTGCACGTGTCCGTCGTGTAGTATAATACAACCAAAAAATATGCAAGAACGTCAAGTGAAGTACGAAGTAACGAATGTAACGAAACGCGTATAAATCGCTGCCTCTTTTCATTTCCGCGTTCCACGAATATCTTTGCCTTTCGCCGTAATGCCTCCCGCGAACAACAATGTAGCAATCACGGTGACACAGTTAGGAATTAAAAGAATTTCTGTGTAACAAGCGCGACCTCGTCTTAACTTGGCGTGCGAACTCCCATAACTAACTCCCTCGTGTACACACTCGAAGCAAACACCACGACTCGCCACCCGGGTATCTCGCTATCCCGCATAAACACACTCGAATAACCGAACACTGAATCTCTCGATATCTTAACCCATCCAGAACACACATCCACCCTGTACACGCGCGTTACGATCGACACCCCCTTATCTCAAAGCCACAACAACATTCAAAACCATCCACTTCTTGTGTATGGCCTGTGCATCGCATTACGGTGATACACACTTCATCGTCTTCAAGGATAATCTCTTCCGCTCCATTTGGACGATGCAGTGATAATTATTCAACTAAAACCATCCATCTGTGTGTAAATTACGTCTCTTTTTATTTGAAACAGCAATTGGTGTTACAGTCGAAGATCCTAACTTTCGATATATTTATTTATATATATACTTTATTTGTTAATTTTTTTTTATTTTATTTTATTTTATTTTATTTTATTTTATTTTATTTCTTTTATTTTCTTTTATTTTCTTTTATTTTCTTTCATTTTCTTTTATTTTATTTTATTTATTTTATTTTATTTTATTTTATTTATTTTATTTTATTTTATTTTATTTATTTTATTTTATTTTATTTATTTTATTTTATTTCATTTTATTTATTTATTTCGATATTTGTAATTTTTATTTAGTGGTACATTCTAAATTATTTTATTTATACATTAACAACTCTCTTCTTTTCTACTTGAACCAAGTAATATATTCGTACTGTTTATTGCAAAATAGAATAGAATTATTGATCTAGAAACTATATAATTATTCAGATGGTACCATTTCTTGTTTTATATATAGTATTAGTATTTTAAGTAGTACGTACTTCAATGTTTTTCACAGTAATCTCGTCCTATTCACTTGAATCAAGAACTAATTCTACTATATTGATACTACTGCTAATATATTCGTGCTATTTATTCTAAATTACTCCTCTCTTCCACTCTACTTGTAACCATGTAATACACTCATTCTATTTATTCCAAATTATTCGAAGCAGTTACTAATTTCTACAACTACGTAATCACCACAATCAGGCAAAACCGTTTATCCTTTCACATAAATCACATTTAGTGCCAGTACTAATGCAAGTTCGAAGATTTCAATTGCAATTTCCTCCTCTCCACTTTGATTAAACTACGTTATTCATTTCAAATTTTTTAGAACAATTAGTATTAATTTCAGAATATATCGAATCAATCAGAACTGTTGCTGTCGTAATTAATCAAAACTTTTCATCCCTTTATATAAATCACATAGGTTCTACGGCTTCAATAACAATCTCTTCTTGTCTTCAGTTTAGTTTAGTTATGCTATTTGCTATTTGCTCCAAATTAATATATTTATTTAAAACAATTATTAGTAGTCTCAATATATCAAATCAATCGAATCAATCAAAACCATTCACGTTGATGTTAATATACACTTCGAGATCTCCAATAATAATCTCTTCTCCTTCACTTGAAACAAGAATTAATATTACTATTCATACTATTTATTTCAAATTATTTGAAATGATTACTGATACAAAACCAATCGTTCAATCAAACTCAATCATTCCTTCATACATCACACTAGTACTCGTATACATCCTGCTATCTCCAACGTACGTTATTTATATTAAATTATTCAGAATAATTATTGATTATTCAGAATATATAGTAATCAATCAAAAATTATTCACTCCTACACACAACACTAGTACTAGTACATCAGGTAATACACACTCGACGTGTCTCCCTTTTCACTTGAAACAAGAACTAATACTATTACCATAATATACTAGTATTATAATACATTCGTATCGTTTGTTCTAAATTATTGAAAATAATTCGAAGAGCTAAATAATCGTTGAACCAATCTCATTTATACCTTCATACATTTGTACGCATCCAGTTATCTCTTCTTCATACTATTATTACACTATTTATTCTTCCTCTTCACTCGAAACAAGAACTAATACATGATCATTGAAACTAGAACTAATACATAATGCTATTTGTTTCAAATTATTTAAAATAATTCGAAAAGTCAAATAATCTCATTCATCCCTTTATACATTTGTACACATCCAGTTATCTCTTCTTCACACTATTATTACACTATTTATTCTTCCTCTTCACTCGAAACAAGAACTAATACATGATCATTGAAACTAGAACTAATACATAATTAATGCTATTTGTTCTAAATTATTTAAAACAATTCGAAAAGTCAAACAATCGTTGAACCAATCTCATTCATCCCTTCATACATTTATACACATCCAGTTATCTCTTCTTCACACTATTATTACACTATTTATTCTTCCTCTTCACTTGGAACAAGAACTAATACATAATCATTGAAACTAATACATAATTAATGCTATTTGTTCTAAATTATTTAAAGCCAAATAACCATTTTAACCAATTTCACTTATCTCTTCACACATCCAGTTATCTCTTCTTCACACACCTGCAATATGTATTCTTTCTCTTCACTTGAAACAAGAACTAATACATAATTAATGCTATTCGTTTCAAATTATTTAAAATAATTCGAAAAGTCAAATAATCTCATTCATCCCTTTATACATTTGTACACATCCAGTTATCTCTTCTTCACACTATTATTACACTATTTATTCTTCCTCTTCACTTGGAACAAGAACTAATACATAATCATTGAAACTAATACATAATTAATGCTATTTGTTCTAAATTATTTAAAACAATTCGTAAAGCCAAATAACTATTTTAACCAATTTCATTTATCTCTTCACACATCCAGTTATCTCTTCTTCACACACCTACCGACATGTATTCTTTCTCTTCACTTGAAACAAGAACTGATATTAATGCTATTTGTTCCAAATTATTCGAAAACAATTCGAAAAGCCAAATAACCGCTTTGACCAATCTCATTCATCCCTTCACACATTCGTACACATCCAGTTATCTCTTCTTCGCACCATTGCTTCAAATATACTAATTCCAGAACACATCATCAAACGTTCTCTTACACGGTTGTATTGATATATCAGATTAATACACACCTCGACGTCTCCAACAACAATCTCTTCCTCTTCACTCGGCGACGTAGTCGCGAGTAGAATACAAGAGCAGGTCGAAGATCCGTAGACCCTTTCTCCTGTCAGCTTTCCCTCACTAGGCGAAGCACACCAAGGTGATCGACACACCCTTGACGCCAACGTTCTCCCGTATTATAATTACGTATATATCCCAACTACAAGAACGTATACGTATATGTTGATGTGAGCGACTTTGATTGCCGGCCGATTGACAGAACGATGAGAGAGCGTTTGAGTTGGCCGGTTGCTAACGCGGTTGGAACGCCGACTGAAACGTTCCCCCGGCACGGCGGCGTCCGGCAGAATGTTGCCGCTCGTCTAACGACGGCGGTGGCGGCGGCGGCGGCGGCGGCGGCGGCAGAGGCAGAGGCAGCCTGCGCGGACCGGTTGCCACGGCTCGCGACAGAGAAACCGTGAGACCGAGGGGAATGCACGCAGGATCGAGCGCTAGGCCCGCTAAAAGGGGTGGGGGTGCGTGACAGGAGAAACAGGGGTTGAGGCTGGAGAGAGAAAGATGGGGATTGGGTCGGGACGTTCCAGCGACGTGTAGCGAAAGGAGGCTGTGCGAGGAACGAAGAATGAGGCGGTTTTATGTATTATAACGGCGTGGTAATGACAGGCTCAAGCTCACTCTGAAGATTAGTTGGTCAGGATGGTACATTCGAATATCTGTTCTTTTTTTTTTTTTTTTTTTTAATGACAAATTTATCAAGATTTATACTGAGATTCATTAAGATTGGTTATTAAGAAGGTTAAAGTTAAACAGTATTTATTGAAATTAATTGGTTAAAGTATTCGAATGTCTGTGGAAATTCTTTACAAATTTATTAAGATTGTGTTTTGTGAGATTTGATTTTGAAACAAAGTTGAGAATATATATTTATGAAAGGTCACAATATGACTTTTGTTAGTAGTGATAGAATCAACTTCGTTGTGAAGATTAATTGGTTAAAGTATTCGAATACCTGTGAAAATTCTTTACAAATTTATTAAGATTGTGGTGAGATCTGATTTTGAAACAAAGTTGAGAATATATATTTATGAAAAGTTGCAATATAACTTGATGGAATCAATTTCGTTGTGAAGATTAATTAGTCACGGGAATGTTCGAATATCTGTGAAAACTCATTACAAATTTATTAATTAGATTGTACTGCGATCTGATTTTAAAATAAAGTTGTACTTATGGAACTTACAAGATAAACTTCGAATATCTGTAAGAATTCCTTATGATGAATTTATTAAAATTGTAGTGAGATCTGAGTTCGAAACAAAGTTAAGAATATATATTTGCGCAAGTTACAAGATGATTTTGCTATAGCGATGGTGATGATAGGGTCAAGTTCCCTATGTACACTGTATATGTAGAGTTGTAGCAACATTTGTATTTGAATTTATCTGAATATATTACATCTGTCATGTGAATTCACTATCATCATAGCGAGACTACGAAATAAATCTAAAAACGACTTCGAAATATAAGTCTAAAAATATGTGTAAAAGTTACACGATCACAAGAAACGAAGAACGAGATGGTTTGATCATAGTTATGATAACATTAGGATCTTGTTCGTAAAGTTAGTTTAGATCATGAAAGTGTTCGAACGCTCGTAGGAACTTCTTGTGAATATATTATGCGTGTTATTCGAATTCATTCATGCAGTGTACGAGCGTACTATATTCATTCGTGGAGTATGACTTCATTCATGAATATATACATATGCACGCACTGTACGAATTCGATTCGTCGGGATGAGAATCGAAAAGTGAATTTAACGCAAATTTGAAAATAACGGCAGAGTTTAATTTTCTAAACTCTCGACGTTCGATCATCCGCTAAACGAAATGTAAACGTGGTATAAAACTCCGTGATATTTCCTTCGGCGAGAACGAAAACTCCGAAGGAGAAGCCTGATGGGATGGAATTTGGATCGGTTGGAATAATATTATTCGAAATTTCCCAGCAACCGGAGCCTGTGCTCCAAATTCAGAGCCACCCTATCTTCCGTCTCCCTCCGTTGTTCACTTTTACTCTCAGCTTTCACCTTCTTCACCTCGTTTCGTTTCTTCCCCGTGTCAGTTCTCCAGCCCACCTCAATCTCTACGAATCCACATAATCCCGTCTTGCATCTCTCTCTCTCTCTCTCTCTCCCTCACTCACCCCATTGATCATTCCTTCCTTCTACGGTCTAGAAAAACAGCCCGAGCTAGCGACAGACTCAAGTATCTCGCAAATACGCTCGAGCATTGATCGAACGGACTATTTGAGAATTAACAAAAACACGCTTAGTGTATTCTTTTCTGTGTTTCAACAGAACACCCCTTGCGCTGGCAACTGGTTTGCGGACCGTAACGAGTGACCGAAATCAATGATTCGTCGCTTTCTTCTTTATTTTTGAACTTGTCAGTCCAGATATCGCTGGATAGAAATTATTAAGAAGTAATAAACTTGTCATTTGTTTTGCCTGGATTACATTTAAATATACTTAAAACTGCGAAAATGTGGCAATTTTGGGGCAAAAAGAAATATCGAAATAAATTTATATTTTTAAATAAAATTTTTAATTAAAATTAATTCTATTTAATGTAAGTAAATGATTTTTTATAAACTAAAATTTGTATCGAAAAACACTTTCCAGTACCTTTACTATGTTACGACTTATTTCTATTAGAAATTGACGGGCAATTTGTACACCAATTAATACTTAATTCGATTAAAATAATTAAATTAATTTACTATTAAATCCTCTTTCAAATTAATATTAAAAATAATTGTTCAAAAATAAAATTTCTTATAATTCATTTATTCTTAAATATACTACATTTAAAATATTATTTTATAAAATCTTTATTTATATAATTTTTATTCATAAATTGTAATAATAATACATAAATATGATTTAAGTATTTCTTATCGTGGATTATCAAATCAAACGATAAATTTCTATAAAAAAAGTTAAAAGGCCGCCATATTACTTTATTTTAGTGATTTAACGTTTAATTATAAAAGTATTTCTTATATTACTATAATAGAGTATCTAATCCTAGTCTAGTGTTTAGTTTTCATATTTTTTAATATATAAATTTATAATATCATATTAATAATTTAAATTTCACCTATGATTATTAATTTTTATATAAAATTGTCAAGAGGCTAATTTTATTTCGAGGTTAGGAAGGCAGTATCAAGCTTCGTGGATTTTGAGATCGAGTCGAAAGTTTTGAGATTGAAAATTAAAAACACGATGAGGATCGAAGATATTGGAATTAAGTCAGGCAAAAATGTTTCAAAAGCAGTGGGAAAGGAATATTTTAATGTGAAATTGCTGAAGAGAAACGTTTTAATATGAAAGAGGTCGGAAACTGTTTGAAACCATTCGAAATTACTATCAATATCAAGTTATGAGAGCATGCTAAAATTAATGTTAACTTCACCGATATTACTAATTAATTTCTTTACGTTGCTTCTTGCTCCAATTATAAACTTCAGCGAGATGTTCGTTGAAAGTCGCGAGAAAAGAAAAAGGGATAGGCCACAAATGACAACAGGCAGAGCCAAGTTGGATCGATAGTTGGTATCAAGGAATGTAAAAAGAGATGGATATGAACTGAAAAGAACGGAGGATTTTACGAAGTAGAGAAGCTGAGACACGAGACTGAACTAAATGAGCAAATAAGAACAAACAACTTACTTTCCTTTAAAAGTTCGATGAAGACAGAAATATCGAAGAAACGTCGATGAAGGTGTTGAAAGAAACAAGAAAAAAAAAAAAAAAAATAATGGTGCGTATTCACGAAAGGTGCAACCACAATGGTAGCCAGAATTGAAGCGTTGCACTTGCAAGTGAGAACGCAGTAGAGGGAGGAAAAAAGAAGAAGAAGAAGAAGTAAGAAAAAAAAGAAATCGTCGCGTTGGGACATGCATGATGGGGAAAAATAAAGTAACCGTGAGGTGGGTAATGCGAAAAATTGCTGCACTGGGAATAGAAGGGACAATACGTGGCTACAAGAGCGAGGACTGAGTGTAAGTGTAGAGGGTGTTCAATTTTAAGCGATTTCTTTTTACTAATACTAATAAATTAATATTTTACAAGTATCAAGACGTTACCTAATGTAATATTTAATAATTTAATAATTATATATTTAATATATCAAGACGTTCGATAAGCTTTTATCAAGCACTCATATTCTGAGACTTTCTTCATTTCTGAACAAATTGTTCAACCCTGCGTTCTAGATACATGTGATCATTTCGATCTATAAATGCAATCATCTCCAGAAGAATTGTTCACTATTGGAAAAAGTGTTTCGGAGCAGACCTATTTCGGTTTCGATGGTAGGAACAATGGATAATTTATAGACAGAATGTTTTGTACGTAACGTTGTGGGAAATGACACAAAGGAGATTGTAAATCAAATATTGTGTACGACGCATTCAATTCTGACAGATTTATATTAACGTTGCCGATGCTGCGGTAAATCTGCAGTTTCTCTTTTCGTAGGCATTACAAAGGGATCTCGTGAATCAAGCATTAACGAGTACATAGCGTGTCTGATTCATACGAGCACGCTGCTTCTCTTTACGATTATTTTGCAAAAATATCGATTATTTTTGTAAACAACGAGGGAAATTACAAATCTGAACTTCCTCTCTTAAATGCAAAGTTAACGAACGAGATTGTCGAAACACAAAATTTACCAAAATTTTAATTTTACAGTTACCACTTTCTTTGTACAAAGCTCGTTGCGAAACGAGCAATTATTATCAAATTATAAACTCACGTAAAAACTTCGTTACACTTTCAAGATAGAGCTCCGCGTTTGCCGCCTCTGAAAAATGCGAAACTCTATTAATTATTTGCTTAATTAATGTACCGTGTGCACAATGCCACGAATCTCTATGCACATCCTACGCGGAAAATTTGCATAGAATCTCACAGAAGCAATAGTAGAACGAGCGTAATTATTCTGTTCTACGGTCGAGGTAGATGGAATAATTTGTTGAAGCACGAAACATCGTTAAAAATTCAGCTGATAAGCGCGGTGGAGGATACCTTGACTTACGAGAACTAATCTCCAGACAGTGGGTTTTTATTGCATGGTAAATGGTTGGATGTCGTGGCCGACAGTTTCTGCTTCGCAAAAGTTTCTTCTCTTCATTCCGAGGATGTCGCGGCCGTGGAACAATGCCAAATCTCCCCCTAAGCCTGTTTTGATTGGTAACATAGTAGATTACTTTCCAAGGAAGTGTTAAAAATTCCGTCACGATTTTCAATTTAAAATGAA